GGAGACATTTTACAACGTCATTTGTATTGAAACCAGGGAAGCAGGTTTCATTAACACTTGTGACACTGGGAAGTTTCGCATATGTGGGAGAATGTATGAAAGACTTGTTTAGTGTGCACACATCAAATGAATGAGGAATACTATTCATCTGCTTACCACCAGCAATTTCTCTAAAATGTTTCCATATAGTAGAGGCATTTTTACAGAATATAAACTTTTGATTATAAATTGAATTCAATCTGTGCATTTCAGACTTGATTAGGATGTTAACTCTTTTCACACCAATGCTATCATTCATTTTATATAACTTTCCTTTTTGTCTGTGAGGCATATTCATTTGAGGGGAGGAGAAGCGGTCAAATCTGATGAAAAGTGTTTCTCTGGGACAACAGGTGTCAGGATAAAATTTGAGATAACATGCAATATTGGAGATAGTGTCATCAAGAGAGTCTCCACTAAGCAAGTCCCACCTTGTGTCTTTGAGCATGCCTCTGAGATTCTGAACATTCTGCATAGAGTAACATCCATGTACAGTTTTCTTGGAAAGGTGTGAAACGATTCTCTTGTTTAGATTTCCATAAATTTTGGGCAAAACCCGTACAATACAATGATCGGAGTTAAACAGTGGAGCTCTTTTACGAGCTTCGTATATTCCGAAGTCATTTATAAATACAAGATCAAGAGAATAATCCAGTCTGGTGAGAAAGTTAAAGACATTTTCATAACCTATCACTGTGAGAAAGCTGCAGTCACATGAAGTAAAATCACCTGTTACTATTGACAGGGAGTTACCAAAAGAGGCGGCAGCGGAAATATTGAATTCATCAGCAAGCATAGATAATTCTGAAGTGCTACAACAAGGTGTGATATAAATATTTGTGATATAAATGAATTTGTATTTAGATAGGTGTTTAGGTGGACATTTGACAGTTATACAGTCAATATTATCATTTGAGAATTTAAAACAGACGTTGGCAACAGACCACTGAGAATTGATGAAAGTAGCAACGCCGCCTCGCTTCTTCCTTGAACTACTTCGGTCTTGTCTGTACATACTGAAACCATTTAGTAAGATTAAATTATCATCATATGAGTCGTGTAGCCAAGTTTCTTGAAGCGTTATCACACCTGTATTACGATAAATATTTGAATATAATGGAGAATCCAAGTGATTAATCTTGTTCGATAATGACCTGCAATTAGTGCTCATAATCACAGGAACAGTCATCTGATGCATTGGAGTACACTTTAAGGATCTTTGCCACCCACCATGATGCTTTTTCTTAAGGTTATTATATACTCGTAAATTATCCGGTTGAAAACATTTTAAATAATCGCGAGAGTAAGTAACACGTTTTGGACACATAATTGGATAATTAAAACAAAATAAATCCAAGAAATCAGATGCAATATAAGTGACGGAAAATTTTGGTAGCCCAAGTTTTAAGCAGGCCGCCAGCAGTGTATTGTATTCTGTTGCCAATGCCGAAATGAAATGTGGGAATATATGAGAATAATATTCCGTTGTCACACACTGTCTGCAGCACGCCACTACGATACTTTATCCACAGTTGCGAGGAATTATATAAATCCACAATTCCCGTTGATTTTACTCAACGGTGGTAGGAGTCAACTAAGTAATGTATCGAAAGTATAAGTATAATCTCCACTGCGACACTTCACAGAATACATCAAAACCATAGAATGATCAAATCACACATGAAATGTAATTAACTAAGTCCTCAAGGCTAACAAGCTGTAACATACACCTGGATATTCATCTGCATGTTGATCATGCTGACGAATCTTAATCACTAACTATGCGGCACTAGTTAACCACGATATCTGAAAATAATGAGAATATACTGACAGTTGCATTTTGAATCTCACTGACTCATTCGATGGTGGTATTCTGCTCCTGCAAGCTTCATTCATCATTGAGTGTGGAATAATTCGCAGTCATTCTGGTTCCTGACCGAAATGAATTAGAAAATCCGCCGACTGCTGATAATGGTCGTTCATTAATACTTCTTTACACGTTTAACTGAATACAAACTGCTGTGGTAATCCTCTTGAAGATGATATTGCTGAAATCATTATTGTCGGTAAGCTAACTAACATTATACAGGCCCTTTATATACTTTTGTGGATAGCTCATCATGTCGACCACATGTAACGCAGCCTTCAGCTGCTGCGAGCAGTTCGACAAATTCAAACAATAATTGTGCAAGGATCATATCATGTAAGTTGTTTTTAACTATGTAAAGTGTGGTGGCTGACATTATCCCATTACCTTTCCTTGTATATATATCCTGTGTAAGTGAATTGTAGATATGCTCACTCCACGTACATATTAATAATCATGTTGATGATGCTTGCGAACTGGCGTCCATCATGTACATAATGTGAAAATAAATCAATATTATTAATGTATGAGATTTTAAGGGAATGGGCCGTTTGGGCGCAGTCCTTGTGTCACCGCGTGATTGTCCAGCCTTCACTTAAAGTTTTCCATGGACCATCCGGTAGCTACATCTGCTGGCAAGGAGTTCCAGGGACGACAAACATGCGGTGAAAAAAAGGGGAGCCCCCATTCCGTGTCCTCTGTCGAGCCGTTCTTCATTGAACGTCACGATGAATCCAACAGGTACTCAAGGGGAAATCGCCTTTGTTTGGGTGATCCTGGCAATTTTTAATCCTTTAGGTAGTAATCAAGTCTCCCATAAGCTGGACTGCAGTGAGAACTAATTTCCTTAGGCACTCATCAAAGAGCTTTTCCTTGAGACCCATTACTCTTTTTGTCGCCCGTCTTTGGACCCTTTTCAAAAGGTTCGCGTCCCTTCTAAGCAGTGGAGGTGCAATGATATTGTGCACTTCAAGGTGTGGTCTGACGTATGTCTTGTACAACCTTGGAAGGAGCTCAGGAGTGAGTGCACCTAACTGTCTATGTGTAAGGAGTGTGACCGCATATGCTCTTGCTACGTCCCCGGTGTAATTCACGCTTGTGTCGATCTTTTCCCCTAGAAATGGACCTAAGTCATTCTCTGACGTTGTGCGGGACAAGCTTTCGTCACACAGAGTAAAACTTGCATTCTGCGGCCTATATGTGCGTAATTTCATTACTTTGCACTTTTTAAGATTGAAAATCATACTATTCGCCACCGCCTAGTATTCCAGAAGCTTTAGGTCTTCCTACAGCCCACAGCCTTCTGGGCACTTTTTTGCTATTCAAATCCTTACTTCATCAGCGTAAAGGAGAGCCAGGTAGCTTAGACGCCTTGGTAGACCACAGACAAAATTCAGAAAGATTGACAGACCTAGGATAGACCCCTGCGATACTCCTGATGATGAGCTGTGCCAGGATGATCGGATAAGATTTACCTGAGTGGAGGATTTAATTTCGTCTATGTAGTCCTCCAACTACTACAGAATCAGACTACCTATACCTGCCTGACTTATCTCTTGTACGAAAATGTCACGGTGAATTGTGTCAAACGCCCTCTCAAAGTCCCGGAAAACCATATGCATTAGAATACTCGTATCCCACCATGATGTCCAATGGTCCTAAGCTGACAAGATGTTTGCTATGCAGGATCTGTCTTTCCTAAAACCGTGTTGGGCTTCATGGAGTCTATTAGTCCTATTGAGGTGTTCCCTGATACGGTTATACTACTAAAAGTGAAGCTACTGACCAATAACTAGTGGGATTTTGCCTGTCCCCACGCTTGAAGATAGGAGAAAGGATGCCTCTTTCTTACTCTGTTGGCAGTTTACCTGCACCCATTGGAACAGGTCACATTGGGGCCTACAGAGAGCTTCCGCGCACTGACTCAGAGCAGATCATCTGATGTTATCACAACCTTTGGACTTTCCAGATGTGAGCCTCTGTAACTTCCCTAGGACTATTGCCAGTTTTATATGGAGAGTAACCACTAGGTCTTCCTAATATAAAATAGTAGTGGCGTATATTTCTGTTTTGCATTCAGTCCTCAGTATGTAGGCAGCATTATGTATGCTATACACGAATCACGTAGCAAATTTCATTCAAACCTAGTATTTAAGTACTGATTAGACAACAGGCTCATTGGAAGGGAGGAAACGTGTAACCAGCTCTCACCCCAAGCTGTATTCATAATATGTTCGATCATGCGGACGATTTCGTTAATTATTTCGTTTGGACCCACGCAAATTCCACCAAAAGTTTCTGGAGTCACTTAAAAGGGGAAGATCAAAGTGGTGAATGAGTCAAGAAACATGATTTACAGTACTTTACATAACAATGGGGCCCCCTATGAGAAGTCAAGAGATTCCCTTGAAACACGTATACGTACCCTAACTTGTGTAACTACTTTCTAATATTGCACTGGTCTTCTATAGCTTAGAGTCACCAAGAAATCCATTTGGCTTATACGGCTGGACTTATCCGGCATGTTGGTTGAAATTTCGCTCAGCAAATTTTTTTTGTCAATAATTTTTAACAAAATTTTGTTATATGTTTTCTGGATTGATAGGAATTCTCATTTCCTGGCTAGTTATGTTGGTGTTCGCGTCATTTAATCTGACTGCGACACACTTAGCATATTGGTTGTAATGATTGCGTTTCATACTGAATGCGTCAAAACATCTCTACAATGAAGAAGATGGGGTAGTTGGGGGGTAATGTCATCTATACAAATAGTTTATTTCTTGTAGAAGCTGCAGCTTTCGACATAATGTCATTCAATGAAGACTACGTCAATATGTGGCTACTTTTGTATGAAGAACAGTACTATTTTACAAAAGTATGCTATCAGTACATGGGAATCACCTATAAATGCCAACAGAACGTAAAACCAATGTGTAAACAAACGGCTACGGAACTGCAATCCAACATAACCGACTAACATAGACGAAAATGACCTTTGAGCGTCTCACTCCATCAATGACCTTGAGCATGCGGGATAATTTCAGCCGCTTATACTAGCTCATGAAAAGAATATTTGATGACGCCCTTCATAGAAGACCATGGCGGCAAGTGCAATCTAGAGCGATGTTAGGACAGGAAGTTCTTGTTTTCGATAAATGTTTTGATCGGCTAAAACTGCTTCAAGTCACGATTTCGATGTCATAGACGCACGAATTTAAGGGGTTCAACGCCAGTGCTTCTGTTAAAGGTATTATAAGGTCGATGTTTCCTACTGTAGATCAGACTTAATATATATGATTAAGATATGGGTTGGTATTGTGATTCTGGAGTGGATTGGTGTTTTTAAATGAAGCTGCGACACTTTACTTCGCTGTCGCCGTTATTCTAAACAAAAATATGCAGTTATGTGGTTTTGCTGGCCCATGGTTAGTCACTTGTTCGCGGTATGCTATGCCATGGTTTAACTTATTAACCGACTGTAACATTGCTCATGTGACTTAAGGAATTTGTATTTGATGTCTACTGTCTCAGCGTATTAGGGATATGAGTTCCTTCAAGGTTGCAAATACGTCTTGCTGACGAGTGCCAACTAGCACAAAACTTAGGACCAGGGCTCGCTGCCGATTGCCTCCAACCATCTAATATCATCAAGTCAGTGTGCACCGTGATGGCGAGCCACCTAGAAGGGTGGCCACATTGCAAGCCTGACTGATATAATTCAGTCTGCGCCAAAGAAAGGACTAGACGTATTACACTAGTTACTTGTTTCCAATCAAACTATAATAGGCGTGTGCAAATATGTTCATGACCCACTATGATGTATCGTTTCGCAACACTAAAATAAACAGTTGTTTCACTCCATAATAGGCAGTCCTTAGAGATTATTACGGAAAGAACTAAATTGTCACAAGTAGTTTTCCTCACCGAAAATTTATTGATCTTACAATGCCCTTATATGTATGCTGATAAACGGCAAAGAGGAAGATGTCTCCCATGCCTCTTATGTTACATTCACATTCTTGTGTCTGTCGCAATGAAACATCTATTTTATGGGGCTGATGACACTGTTTTGCTTTTGAACTTCGACACGACAGTTGCTTTTGAACACAGGATAAGGTAGCCCAAATATAAATGTAGCCTCTGGTCTGTGGACCAATTTTCCTTACCTCACATTAGTGGTATTCCTAAAAGATTTATTTTTATGCCCGCAACAGGTGGTTTTCCCGAAGAGATATTGAATGAAATACACTCACAAAATATTGTAGTTACGTAAATTAGATCACACAGACACATGTGGTGACTCACTTTTTCTGGCGCTGAAGATGTTGTCCATAAGGACGACGAAAGCTTCGCGACTAAACCAACCAGCTCAGAGAACACTATTAATTGCAAAAGTCTGTTCTTATGCTAATCAGTTTTTGGTTTGTACATATTCCCACACGTAATTAGCCTTACATTTTCCCTCAGTAATTTTGTTGCATGTCAGTCATATTGACTCTTTTTCTTGGATTTACTGGTAATTTATTTTCAGCAGTTAGCTGAAAATATAATGAGACTAGGGGTCATTTTTTATTTTTTTGCTCTAATTCAGTGATACTTTCCTCCCTCATTGAAATGTTGGTAGTATCGTTCGAATGTATATGACATTGTCATGTTTCTTCAGATATATCTGCTCAATTTCTATTGTTTTCCTTTCAGACTTTTGGGTTGTTTTAGTGTTGCACTACCGCTGAATTTCCCAATACATTTTATATGTACAGTGTCTCAGCCTAACAAACTCAATTGTGTTAGTGGCCGAAGAAATATTTCATCATGGATTACTATGAAGATGACTTTCCTACGAAAGAAATAATACAAATGGATGCCCGGGAGACATCCTGCGTAGGAGAAGATGAAGATCAACAAATAACTTGTGCTGAGTATCTTAGACAATATGATATTGCTCAGGTAGTTATCCAGTAGTCGTTTTTGACTCAGAATCATCGCTAAGAGACTTTTTTAAAGTTTTGTGTAATAGGTGGTAATCAAAGCCTGATAGGTGGAGGCCTTTAATAGGCTTTGTGTGCCTAACCTGTAGTAGACAACCCGGGTGTTGGTCTTGATACACAATTAAATGAATTTCAAGAGCTTAAATCAACAACCTGTAGTGATTTCAAAACTTTCTTATAATGTTATGCTGGATTACTGATGTGGTTGTATCGAACCAGCAAAGAGATAGTCCATTGTAGAACTTTACACAGAGGTAGATCCTTTTAAACAAACACTGGAACAGCAGATTTGCAGAGTGTTGCAATAAATTTCAGATGAAAGATGACTTGGCATGTGTAACACGTGTCCTGACCGTCTCAATCTATACAAATTCATAGACTTGTTGATTGATTTAAATTGTCTTAAATACTTCACGCAGCATTACTTACTTTCTAGTCGCTTATCACATGAGCTATTGAGTGAAAGCATCTACAATCAAGAACAACCCTGATTTCCCCCGTGAAAATTCGCTGCTGTGATTTTCAGCAATATCTTATTTTCAAACATATTTATAGTTTAAAAAGAAGTCAATTCCTAAAATCGCTTCACGGCTAGCCTGTTTTTTCCCTAGAAAGTAGTGTTATTCGCATCACCTATCGAGTAGTAACCTGTGATACGCTTGCTTTTTCGTCACCTTTGACTTATCTGCCACCCTAATGCTTTGTAGTTTTAATGCTAAGACAGAAGCGTTAGAGTATTCCCTTCATATATATATATATATATATATATATTTAGCAGTCGTCCAAATATGTAATGTGAGTAAGTCTTTTGATTTTGCCATCATAAATCTGCTTAATTTAGGTAGTTATTTTTTTCAAACAGGTATGATAAAATGACTGCAGTAGTTGAAGTAATACTGAAAGTTTGAAAGTATAATAGGTAAATTCTATTGTAACTAGTTCCGATTATTTTTCAGCAGCGAAATAATAAATAGTTAGGAGTTTATATTCTTGATTGTATGTTTGCTTTATTAAGGGTGGATGTAAAGACTGGAGTTGTATCGAAAATTATATGTACATTTCATAATTATTCTGTAATCGTATTTTTTTCGTGCATATCTATATTAGTGATGCCTCCATGGCTTCAGTTGTTTGTACGACATTTTTCTTTGAAATTAGCTTGCTCAAATGATGGCACATAGTGCTGAAGAATTTGTGCGTCATGTCTGGCTCAGAGGCTGGCAAGTAGTTAATCATCGTAGTCTTCCTGCATGGTTACGAGACAATGATTTCATTCTTCATTATCACCGTCCTCAGCTGAATACATTTTGGGCTTGTTTCAAGTCGATTTTCAGAGTTCATACAGAAACTGGAAATATCTGGACTCATTTATTAGGTAATTTTTCGACCGAGAATTTATCCGCTTTTGTGTAATCTTTACATCAAGGACTGTTTTGCTCTGTGAAACTTGAAACTTACAGAAATGTTAAATATTAACAAACAAATGTGCTTATCCTTCGCTAAAGAAAACTACAGGATTTATTTTCTAGATCTTAAATCTCATTTTAGTATTGACTTCAAAATGTCATAATAACGAAATTAAGTAATCACTACTTACATCTCCTCTGCATATATTTGCTTAAAGATTTTATAAATGTCCTAATATAGCATGGGATAGACTTCAAAGTATTGCTAAGGTTCAAAAATGTATATTTCTAGAAAGTAAAGACGTATCCATTGCTTGGAAATTGTAGAAATCTCAGTTTTAAACCTATCTTATTTTGTAGCCTTCCAGACAGGAAAGGGGGCTTTGATTTATAAATAACTTTTAGCCCCTCTTCAATAAAAAGGTAACTTATGATGTTCCGCTTTCTTTTACTTCAGGCATCTAAATACTCAAAAGAGTGATTAGTCACTTAATATAACTATCTCTACATTACTCGGCAGTGAAAATTTTAGGGTGCTTACATAATATTCCATAGTAATACCTCTTATATTGATGTTGCACCATTGTTTTGTTATCAGAGCGTCTATCTGTGCTGATTTTGTCGTCATCCTAACCATGCTGCTCAATAACATTGAAAGTTATAATCTGTTTATGTCATTTTGAATCACTGAACTGTCTTTATCGCACCACCTGAGATATTTTGAAACGGAATGAATGATCTAGACTATCATCTTTCAGCGTTTACCTGATAACGAAATTAGACAAAAGAAGAGAATGGTCAGGACTGAACTGGTCTCGTTATCGATGTGTGCCACATATCTGTGGATTCATATATAATCTGGGTAGTGTTGTGACTTAGTATGTATTATCGCATTCAAAAGTCTTTATGTCGAGAGTTCTGTTTTCTTGATTTCCGTGTTGTACAAAACATAATAATGAGTATTGGTCCTCTAATTGATTTTCACTGGAAATCACTTATACTTTGTTGTTCATCATTATTCATGCACCGTGCGTCATTGGCACAGCGGTAGAATGCTCGTCAACCACCCATGTGGTCTAGCGTTCGATCACCGGCTGACGCACTTCTTTACTTCTCTAAGCCGGTAATAAGGCTGATAAAGAGGGAAGATTGGGCATGAGAGCAGCAACCCCATCCCATAGAAATGAACACCACTGCTACAGAAACTTCAAGTCTCTACCTTGAAGCCCTATATTCCACTAGGAACGTAAAGAATTATTATGTAGTAGTAATCATGCACCGATGTAGAGTTGATGACCTTATGTAGTTTATTAGACAACTACTTAGTATTGGCAAGTCCTGTGTTGTCATTATGTATTTGTGTGTCTTATGTAGCTTGGATTGTGAAGGAAAATTTATTGGTATATTTTACTTGAACCTAGGTTCCATTCTTGTGACTGATAGAGCTAAATTTCCCTGCGAATTCCTCCACTAAAATCTGGACAGTCCTTTTAGATGTCGTTTTAACAACACAAGTTTCCCCAAGTTTGTTATTATTTTGAAAAGCAGACACTTGTAGATCATCTGGGCTTTTCGAGTGAAACCATTACTTGTAGCGTTCAATTATTTCTAGTTTATTATCACTGACTTCAGTTAGAGAACCATTGAAAACCGAGAAGCACTGGAAGGTTATTTCATCCTAGTCAAGGGACATTTCAGTGGTACGCACCCACAACCCCAATGGGGCTCGAACCCAGGACCTTTAGGCTACAAACCAAGCTCGTTGACCATTAAACCATTGGGTTAGACGGATACTCACCGATGACATTGGCTGGCAGTCACGTTATATATTGCGGATAGCTAGGAGCTAGAATTGATAAGCCATCGGCTTCCGTCCCAGTGGCTCAATGGCATACTAGCCCACCTGGTAACCTGACAGTCCTGGGTTCGATTGCTGGCGATGGGGTGATGAGTCCGTACTGTTGAAGAGTCCCAAGGTAGGATGCAACAACTGTCCAGTACTCCCTGGTTCCTAGTGGTTCTCTAAATGACGTCTTTTCGCCCTCGAAAACTTAGAACCAATCAAATCCCTGCTAACTAACACTGATTAAGTTGAATACAGTATCTCTTCAATTTGTTTCAGGATGTGGCAGTTTTTTCGCGATTGCAGTCTTCAGCTTAGTTCAATCAGAGGTTTTTATACAGTGGCAAGAAAAACTTGTATTTTCTGCATTCTTTTTTGGTGCAGTTGTCTGCCTTGGATTTTCATGTTTATTTCACACTCTGTCTTGTCATTCAAAAACTATTGGGAGACTTTTCAACAGGTAATTTGATAATTAAGTAAGCTTTACGATTGTTATTGTTGTTGTTTGATAACCTAACATTAATTTACTAAAACGGAAATTAAAAAGTGGTTTAAATTGTCAGTTCCTGATATTTATTTTCTGTTGCATAGGAGTGTAAATATATGAGTTTGTTTGACTACTTCAGTCTGTTTTCTATTATCATAGTCTCATTGGCTTCACATTATCCACCACAAAGGTGATGACTTGCGTAGGTGGAGTACTAGTCAGGTGATGTGCATGATCAATATGCTTTGGGATTATATCAAATGTATACAGTCGCCGTTTGCTTCAGTGACCGCGACGTTGTCTGAAGCAGAAGCTAATCTGAAGACTTTATATATATATATCTAAGATCATTGTATGGAAACACACTCCAATGTTGTTCGTAGATGTTCTTAAGTATAGAGGAAACTATGGAGCTAATAAATGGATAGTAGTCAATACACGCAGAAATTATCCATCAAGACATGGAAATGCGAAAAGATTTATTCCCCACTAATTCATTCGCTCAGCTGTGCAACTGTAATTATATTTCTGTGTGTGTTTGTACATTCAATCTGTCAAGCATAGCAAAAAAGATGTAAAATAAATCATTTTAGAACATTGTTTATATTGTCAAACTACTTTGAAATAGTGAAGATCAATCAGATTGTAATCAAGACTGTCAAGTGTACTATGAATATAAATCAATATTTTGGATCGTTAATTGATGAATTAGGAAATGTTGTGGTCTACAGTCTTTGATTTATACCATTGTATGACTTGGTTAATTGTATTGATCTACCTAGTCTTCTTTTTATCTCAACACAAGTGACTAGTCAAATGCTCTTCTACTCTAATCGTACATATAATAGTATGTTTTACCTATTAGTTAGTTCTTGTCACTGCAGATAAGCTTTTGTTTTACATAATTCTGTGACTTGGTTAGGTATTAAATACTAAAAGAGGTATCGCGGTCCTTACTCACGATAAATTTAAATTAATCATAACATTCTGTGTCAACATTTTCATCTTTTCGTTGCATGAGTGACTCATTTGCTTAAGCTGTCGATTCAGTCAATTGGCCCCGAGTCCGAGTTCCGCTCTACGTAGTTCAGCCTCGGAAACTGAGTAATATTGTAGTGAAAGCTGGCTGCAAACAAGCCAAAATTGTAGATAACAATATACGTTAATGTTTGCGTCCTGAATCCGCGTCATGAGAAAAGCAATAATAAAGCGTAACCTTGAGAAAATTACCGACCAATTACAGTGGACTTAACGTGTGGAAATATGATTCGCAGATATATGGCTTCATTTTCTGAGAAACGTTCAGAAAAGCAATAATGGAATAACCTTCAGCAAGAAAACAACCAATCAGAAGACGCCTCTTCTCCGCTGACAATAATGCAGATAAAAATCTATAATTATTGCTTGATTTTCTCAATAAACAATCTGTTGTCTAGCCTTTGCCTTTTGTCGTTAGAATATCACCACCCCTCAGACAATAACTGTGTGGCTCGTAATTAGGATTACATAAATAGACCTGTTCCAGAAGCCGAGTGATTTACTTCTCAATACACTTGGTCACTTTATAATCAGTGTATCATAATAAGCCTACAAATTCTTTACGTCTTCGTGTTATTTATCAACTCTTTTCAGCCTGATGAATTTATCGAAGAATATTCTGTGTTCATCAATCAGTCTTTAATTTTTAATCGGCATTTTGCAATGAATTTTACATCAGTTGCATTCATGAGTTATTGACGCCCGTTTTTTCAACTCAGTCCCCGGAATAGGTCTTTCACGTTCTAGACTATAAGCTACATTTATGTGAGAGCTGGTTATACTACCTAGGCTGAAGCAGGCGGGATGGGGTTTGAACCAGGGACCTACTGACTGAAAGTTGAATACCTGACCCATATCTCCATATGTTACGCTACTGAGGCTAAAAATTTTGATGTTACTTTATATGATTTCTTTTAAGCGTGTATCTAATCAAGTTGAAATGTCTTTTGTTTTTATATTTACAGATTGGACTATACTGGTATAGCGTTTCTAAATATAGGCTCGTTTATACCTTACTTATATTATTCCTTTTACTGCATGCTATGGGCTAGATTATTTTATATGGTTCTGGTTGTCGTTCTCGGTACAGCATCAATTATCGTATCAATGCATCCATCTTTCACTACACCACGTTATCGTCCACTTCGAGCTGGTGTTTTCATGGGATTAGGCCTTTCAGCTCTTATTCCATGCATACATACAATAATATTAGAGGGATTCCTTAATTCCATTTTTCAAGGCTCTTTAGGTTGGCTTGTTCTTATGGCAATTTTGTATTTAAGTGGAGCAACGATTTACGCTGTCCGTGTACCTGAAAGAATATTTCCTGGACGTTTCGATATTTGGGTAGGTTACACACAATACAGCGAACATTATTTCTTTGTTTTTACCATAAGCTATGTTTAAATTTTTAAAGTGGCCATTCATCCAGCTTATGGTTCGGTGGTTCAGTGGTAGAATTCTCAACAACCATACACTTGTTCCGAGGTTTGATTCCCAGATGGATACACTTCTAAACTTCACCAAGTTTACCAGTCGGCAATAACCCCGGTAAAGAGGGAGGCTGTTGCTGCTGCTGGATTCAACATAGAACTTGGCACCGAAGTGCAGCAGTTCGAGTTGCCACGTTCCAAATAGCACACAAAGGTAGACAGGAAAATGAGAGAAGAGAATCGATAGAATTTAGATAATTATAAGAGTGAAACAGAATGAGTAATGGTAGAAAGGAATATGAAGGTTAAAGAGACTGAATACATCTGCGCCATTGACAACGATTTTGAGCCATGTCACCTATTGTCTCCAGCCATTGATTCTTAGAGTCCCGAGGGCGGGCCCCAACCCGGAAGTCTGCATCTCCCTACCTGACTCAGTTTAACTGTCAGGGATTTCATGGATTGGTTGATGCCATGTTTTTGTTTGGCCACCACTTACTCTTTTCCAACCTGCACCTATATCAGCTAGTAATGCCCGTCGGGGGAGGCGATGATTAGGCATGCGCAGCACGTGACCTAACCATCTCAATCTATGTAACTTCATAGCCTCTTCGATTGATTTTCCCTCTTTGCCCAACACTCTACGCCTAACGTCAACATTGAGTTGGGTGTAAGGCTAGTTACTATCCTCCTTAGAAACAACACCAGAGTCTCTACTGAAATTTCAAAACCCCAGCCTGAAGGCTTATATTCCAATCATAGCGCAATGGAGGGAAAAGAAACTGATCTTACAACCAGTAGGTGTAATCTTAACTTATATCCTTGAATAACGTGAAAAGAACAGTGTTCGCAAGTTAAAGGGAATTGATTTTTTATATGGTAGGATTTTTATCGGTTGCACACACAACCTGGGCAAGAATAATAAAATATGTAAGTAATTACTGTGAAATAATTTCGGTATATTTTTTTCTGAATAGCCACTTGATTTTATAAGATTAAACTAAAACACCAAAACAAAGACCATGTGCAAATATTACAGGAAGTTAGCGTGATAAATTACAATCAAAATAGAGCCATTCCTAAGTGCGCGGATTCCGACATAAGCAGAATCAGTTGTGTAGTCATGTGAAAAGTTCCATCATCGAACAGTTCCATTTTCGATATACAACACATAATGATACAGTGTTACTTATCTTCGAATGACTTGACTCTGTATACTACTGATTAATTGGTATGAGTAGTTGGATACCGCTGACACCAACCAGTAGTACTGGTGTTTGCTACCTAAATCTGTATGACGTGAAATACTGGATGAGTGACCGTGTCGTTCACCTCAGTTAATGTCTGTGGTATGACTAGTTTCAACATAGAACTTTGCACAGATGTGCAGCACTTCGAGTCGCCACAATCCATGCAGCACACAAGGCAAGGGAAGAAAGTTTAAAGAGATACAAATTAGTGACAGTAAACAGAGATATGAGGCAAAAAGAATAGTCATATCGAAGAACAATATAGTTCCATTGGGTATTATCAGTCACAAGGAGTGGATGCATCTGCGCCATTGACAACGATTTTTCGCCTTATCACTCCAGCCTTCATTGGTGTTTTTTAGCGTCCTGAGGACCCAAACCAGGAAGGCTACACCTTCCCACATGGCTGGCTTAAACTAACTGTTGTGGATTCCACTGACTGACAAGGCCATGTTTTTGTTTGACCACCCTAGCTCTTTTCCAGCCTGACCCTATGTCAGCTAACATTGCCCGTTGTCGAGGAAGGCGATGGCTAGGCTAAGCATGCGTAACACATGTCCTAACCACCTGAATCGACGCAGCTGTTTTACAACCTCGTCGATTGATTTCCCCTCCCTCCTTACCTAGCACTCGACCGAAGTCTTACCTCAATATTGCTCACCCTATTATACCATTTCACACGAGAGATCGAATGTAGGCACCTATGATCAAAGACAGCTAGCCTTTTCATGTCTTCCACTCTCAATGGCTAGGTTTCACAACCATAAAGGAGGACGGAGCGGACTACTGAGCAGTACACACGCCCTTTGGTTGATATCCAGTTGGATATGATGTCTACTCAAGAGACGGCGTAAGCTGGCATATGAGAACCGAGCCTTCTGTATTCGAGCTGAGATTTGGTTTAGTGATCAACCCGTTGGCACTGGCTTGTGGAACTTCCTAAATAACTGAAGTAGTCAACGTGCTCTACCAGTTCGTTCCTTATTTCTAGGCTACGAGTCAGTGTAGTCCAGTCCTGTAACACCATCTTACATTTGACAGGAGCGAATCGCATGCCAAATATTCGCAGATTGCGACTCAAGGTGTTCAGAAGACTCTGTATTTTGTCAACGTCTTCACCTAGGAGGAAGGACTATATCATCTGTTGTTCTAAGTCAACGAAATTATTCCCTGGTAACAAGTCAATCCTTGAATCACGGAAGTCAGTTAGAGTTAAGTTCATTAGTGTGTACACCTATTTTTTTCTTCACGTTCCCAGTGGAACATAGGGCCTCAAGCTAGTGGCTTGAAGTTTCTGTAGCAGTGTTTAATTTTTACAGGATGGGGTTGCTAGCCTCATGCCAAACCTTTCCTCTTTACTAGCATTATTTCTGGCTTAGCGAGGTAAAGGAGTGCGTCGGCCGGGGTTCGAACCCCGGACCATGTACATGGTCGGCAAGCGTCCTAACTTCTATGCCACCGTAGCACAATGTACATCTATGGTGAAATTAAATAGAAATGGGACAGTGGGCTTCAGATGACAACTTGCTATAAGCTCTTACTTGGCTGCATGAGTTCGAGTAGAGTGCCTAGATCAGTGCAATGTATTTGCTTGGTATTCCCTTCACAGCCAAATATCTCCATAGTACCACTCGGTCAATGGAATGAAATGCGGCCTTAAGGTGAAGAAATATAACGATTGTTGGACTCCGGTAAGAATACCAATGTTCCCTTCCAGAACCTGTCGAAGGGTGAAGATACGATCAATACACCCTCCTGGTATAAAGCCTGCCTGGTTCTCTCGTGTTTGTTCCTCCCGAGCACCACTTAGTCGTCTACGCATGACTATTGAGTCTACAACTTTAGATACCATATTAGTCAAGCTAATCTCCCTGTGATTATCACTGGAAGACTTATCTCCCTTCTTGTATATCGGGATAATCAATGACTTACAACAACCCGACGGGACTTCCTCTGATTCCCAGACTCTGTCTTATATCTTAGTTAACGCAGACGGTAAACTGTCTCCACCGTCCTTAAACACCCCTGGAGTCATTCCGTCAGGTCCCTCAGCTCTGCCTCGTTTCAGACTAGTGACAGCTTTTGTAACCTCAGTTAGGGACGGTGAACCTGTGTCTATATTCCATTTAGGGAGGTGATGGATGCTGGTTAAGTTGAGCGTGGCTGTCGCGCCAGTTAAATTGCCCCTCAAAGTGTTATTTCCAACGTTCCAGTCGTCTATCCTGGGAGCTAATTATGGTGCCATTTTTCCCAGAGATCGTTTCGCTTATCGTTCGCCTATTACCACCTGTTTCCCTGATAAGTCTAAATAGTTGTATGGTGTTACCAATCGCCGATGCTTTTTCCATCTCTTTCGCTTTTATCACCCACCACTGTTCACGGTCATTACGAAGGCCTTCTCTTAGTTTGCGGTTGAGCAGTTTTTACTCGTCATAATCGGAGCTCGCTGGAATCAGTCTTCTTGCGTCAATCAGTTCGAACAAGGTGGTAGAAATATAATGGCTCTTACTATCTTTAGGTTTCAGGTTATTAACAGCTTTTATAGCTATGTCTACGGCTAACTGTATGTTGTGCCAGCCTACTTCAGGGGAAGTCCTGCTGTTGACCTCAGATACACGTTTCGCTATTTCCTCCCTAAATAGAGACTCAGTGTCTCGATCTAGTTAGGGACATAAGTGTTTTGCTGCCAGCAATTTCTTATGTCCGTTTAGATTTAGGCATAAACGTGCGGCAACCAGGGCGTGATCAGAGCCTACGTACGTACTGCATAAGGAGTGGCAGTCTTCTATTAACCCTCGCCAGCGATACCCTATCGTTATGTGGTCTATTTGAGTCCAGTGTTGATTTGGTGATGGAGGTCCCCAGGTTATAATCAATGTCTCTTTGTGCCTAAAGTAAGTGCTTACCAGAAGCAGATGATTATCGGAACAGAACTGTAGAAGATGATCACCGTTGTTGGTTCGTCAGTAGGGAACTCCATACGTACTTCTCAGTCTGGCACAAGTTCCCTACTTGGGAATTGAAGTTGCCTGCTAAAACAACTGTCTGTTTACGTTTTGCTTTATGCAGCAAATTAGACAGTTTCTGTTGGAAGTCATCCTTTAATTCATTCGAACTGCAGTCTGTTGGGACGTAAGAGGAGACTACGAAAAGACAACGACGGGTAACGCCGTCTTTCCTTCATCTTACGGACCCGTTCAGATGGACCGCACACATACGACCATCTACTGTGGTTCAATCAAGAAGGGACATTTCCGCCCTAACACTCAATGCCATCCTTACATCTGCGAGTCCTCGCGAATCAGCTGAGGAGTCTCCTTGACACCCTTAAAGTGAATTTCGCAGGTTCACCTTGTTGGCGGGGTGAGGTTAAGTGAATGGCTATACTCGGGTCTTGTATGCGTGTCCTCGAAACACAACATACATCCGTGACTCGAGATGCCAGAGTTCTAGCTAGTGATGCCTGTTGTCCGATTTAGGTAACACCTTACTGCTGTTACATCCCTGTTCCCCAGCAGTACGACTTCGACAACAGACCCCCAGCATTATTATTATTGTTTTTTCCTTTAATTCCTAGAGGAACATAGGGCTTTAGCTACACGTCTCCATTGCGTTCGGTTCTCTGCTAGAGTCTTCACCTGGCTCCAAGTTTGCCCACACGTTTTCATCTCCTCTTCACATGACCTCCTCCAAGTCACCCTTGCACTGATGACCAACTCGCCGCTTCCCTTTCGGGTTCCACTCGAGCAATGGCTTGTCTAGTGATGTCACTTGATGGTTTCCTCAGAGTATGGCCATTCCATCTCCATTTCTTCCTGCCTATTTGTTTCACAATCGGTTCCTGGTTGGTTCGCTCCCAGAGATCTCTGTTGCTGATCTTTTCTGGCCATCTGATCTTGAGTGGTATTGAGCGAAGACAACTGTTAATGAAGGTCTGTAGTTTGTTTGAGGCGCTCTTTATGACGCGCCAAGTCTCTGATCCGTATAGTAGCACTGACTTCACATTGGAGTTGAAAATCTGGATCTTATTTTTGATGCTGAGTGCTGTTGACCTCCACACAGAGTTGGGAGTAGTGAACGCCTGTCTTGCTTTTCTGATTCTTGCTTTGATATCCTCGTCAGTTCCGTCCTCCTGTAGTTGAAACGATGCTTCCCAGGTAGGTAAAGGAGGTTGCTTCTTTCAAGTTCCTTCCATTTATGCTGATTGTTGTCTGTTGTTGTTGCTGTTGGTGGTATTGCCCAGGAATCTTCATCACCTCTGTTTTCTCTATGTTCACCTGAAGGCCTATCTTTGATGCTTCTTCTGCCAACTGGTTGCTTTTCACTTGTGTATCTTCCAGTTTGTTGGAAATCAGACATATATCATCGGCGAAGTCCAGATCCTCCAAGTTTTTCGTTAGGGTCCATTTTATGCCTGTTCGTCACATTATCCAGTCTACTGCAATCACGGAAATCATTGGCGATAGTGGGTAGGCAGCCTTGTCTTACTCCTGTCCTCACTTCGAAGGATTCCGTAAGTTTCCCGTTGTGGATTACTTGGCATGCAGCATTGTGGTACAGCTGTTGGATGAGATGTATAATTGTCGGTGGCACTCCTTAGTAGCGAAGTAGATGCCAAATTACCTCTCGATCGACGCTGTCGAAGGCGTTTCCAAAGTCAATGAAGTTGAGATAGAGAGGTGACAGCCATTCCAAACTTTGTTTCATGATGATCCGTAATGTGGCGATTTCATCAATACATGACCTGTTTCTTCTGAATCTAGCCTGTTTCTCTCGAAGTTTTTCATCCAGGGCTTGTTTGATTCTCTTCAGGATGATGCGGCTTAGTATTTTGGTTGGGATGAACAGGAGCATAATTCCGCGCCAATTCTTGCATTGACTTAAGCCTCCTTTCTTTGGCAGTTTGAATAAGTATCCTTTCTTCCAATCCTCGGGTACTTTGCCTTCTTTCCACACCTTCTCCAGTAGTGGCGTCATCAAGTCCGCTGTTGTCTCTGGATCCATTTTTTAATGCTTCTGCTGGGATTCCATCTCGTCCTGCTGCTTTTCCAGCTTTTAGCATCTTGATTGCCTTCAGGACTTCTGTTCTACTCGGGGGGTTGATGTTCACTGGTAGTTGTGCTTCCGTTGTTGGTATTGTTGGGTGCGTTGTAGGTGGTGATCAATTTAGAAGTCTTTTGAAGTGTTCGGTCCAGTGTTTCCTTCGCTCCACTACTTTGATGATTGACTTTGCATTGTCATCCTTCACTGGCTTAATTTGTGTCGAACTTTTCCCCGAAAGGTAACTAGTTGTTTGGTAGAGTGTTTCGAGGTCTCCTTTGCCTGCAGTTTGTTCTGCTTCACTTGCCATGGTTTCATAATATTTTCTTTTGTCTTCCCTGGCACTCTTCTTTACACTTTTATTCAGTAGCTTGCATTCAACTCCTGTTTTTGTTTCTCGTCAGTGTACTGGATAACTTTTTGTTTCACCATCCTTCCCTCTTCTATTAGTCTCCAAGTGTCCGTAGTGAGCCACTGTATGTCTTGTCTCTTCTTTCTGCCTAGAACTTCCATGCAGGTTTGACTCCACAGTTTTTGAGTGTTGAACTTGGCTTGTGGTCTGTCTGCAGCTCCTGCTTCTCTGAAGGCTTTTAGTTTGATTTGCATTGTCCCTTGTACGAGATAGCGGTCTGAGCCAACGTCTGCTCCTCTTCTTACTTTTGTTTCCAGTAGGCTAAGCCTCCACTTCCTTGAGATTGAGATGAAGTCAATTTGATATTTTGTTCGCTCATCTGGTAACACCCATGTAGCCTTGTGGATATCTTTGTGTTTGTATACGCTACCACCAATCACTAGTTCATTGAAGGCGCAGAAGTCGGCGAAGAGTTCTCCATTTTCGTTCATCTCTCCGAGAACTTCTTTACCCATGATGAGTTCCCTTCCTGTGTTGTCTGGTCCCAGTTTGGTGTTCATGTCTCCAATTAGTACTTTAATGTCATGTCCATTGTTGCATGTAGTTGTCTATAGAATTCATCTTTCTTTTCGAGGTCTGCGTTGTTTGTCGGTGCATAGCATTGCATAACTGACACTTTCCTTCCTTTGGAGTTGAATCTGGCGGTCATTATCCTGGACGAGATCGCCTCCCATCGCATGAGTGCCTTCGTTGCCGTTGGTGACATCATGATAGCCATGCCCTCGGTGTGCGTGTGGTTGTCTTCTAGGTGACCGAAATAGATCAGTGACCCTCCCGTTGACAATTTGGTGAGTCCATTCCCGTTCCATCTGCTTTTACATATTCCCAGTACTTGAATCCCGTATCAAAATAAAAGTGGTCAATCCACCTCCATAACTTCATCTCGTTTGCGATCTGGGTAGCTTTGCCAATCTCGTACATGGTGCGGACGTTCCACACAGACTTCTTCTTTTGGCGCAAGGAGATTCATCGTACTAAAGTTTCTGTAGCAACTTTATTTACATAATGGGGTTGCTAGCCTCACGCCTGAGAAGGGGGGTTGTTACATTAAAATATATTTACAGAGAAGCGACCTTATGGGTTGCTCCCCTTGAAACCAGGAAAACAAGGAGTAAAACAATCAGAACAACACCAGCAGAGGAAAATAATTCACAACAGGAAGGACAACAAGCGACAACAACAATGAAAATACCTTAGCAGTAGTATCAAAGTCAGATACAGTTAACAAAAATGATATCAAAATCATTGACTCACTGACTTGAGCGAACTTTACCTTGTAGATCCATCAATATATACAATTATAATTACAATTATAGATATTAGTTAGTGTTAGTCAGTTCCAAAATGGCAATCAGATAGTTATAGGTATTATCCAACAACAATATTATGTTCACAGATTCAGTGTTTGAAAAGCAAATAGTCACACTACTTTTCGAAAGTTCTTGGCGAGAAATTCCACATAAATAAGAGTTTTATGATACTACGTGAATGTAGCATAGTTATCGAAAAGCGCGTCAAGGTCACCCCCAGCATAGTGTAAAAAAATTCTTACACTATGCCGGTAACTGCTTTTAGTCTATTCGCTATCCTAACAGCCTTCCGGGCATGATAGGTACTGCAGGAACAATAGTTCCATCCAGTGTATGCAAGCCTGACCACCACTTCAAGATAGCAGCTATCAGTCGGGTCACCACAACTAGGTCCATTTCCACACTTTACATGCAAAAGAGGTGATATGTCAGTTGAAGAACTTTTAGTCATTAGGTGTGAAGCCTAAACTTTATTCCACTCACTGGTGTTTTGGCATATAAGCAACATAATTAAACTTAACAAACACATCCACATTGTTATTGGGTAACGTATGAATAGTTTCAATCGTAAACTTGATGGGTCTCATAAAATGAATACCTTTACATCTTCATAATAATACCATTATTATTATTATTATTATTACTGGTTTTCTCTCTCTCTCTTTCTCTTTTGTAGTTTCAAAGTCATCAAATATTTCATGTTTTTGTTGTGGCTGCTGCCTTAGTTCATTATCATGGTTTAGTTAAACTGGCCGATTATCGTTTAACTGTCGGTGATTGTAAACCTGTTGGATTAAGCTTCTATACAGATGAATTTAAACTTCTTGGGTTGAATATATTCTCAGAAACTGTTTAAACAGTAATATCAATAATTATGGTGTATTTATTTAAAAAAAATGTAACTTGACCTTTTTTAGACGTGAATAATTTATTTATTTATTTATCATTGTACGACCCCATTAATTTTGTATATATACAAAGCCTAGAACTTAGTGATTCATTTATATATATATATATATATATATATATATATATATAATACATTAAAAATGAGCAATATTCATTTCCCAATGCTTTTAATTTCAACAAGATTGTTGTTTTATTATCCTTATTTTGTTTTTCTTAATAGATAATCATTATTGTGTAACATTTCACTTTATATTCAACCTGTACATCAGTTCTTTGTTTCTTTCACCCTCTATCTTCTGTTAGAAGGTTATGTGTATAGTGTTTATAGTTGTATTCATTTCATGCTTAAGTCAATTCAATTCACTAATCTGTTTTAATACACTGAAATTGAAAGAAACTGGGAGAAATTATTATTATTATTATTATTATTACACTTGGTCCTCTCCCATCCTTTTCAACTGACTCTATGATTGCCTACCCATTGTTATTACTTCTTCTTCTCCTCCTTCTTCACATTATCTTCCCCCGTATCACTCTCGGATCCACCACACTTCCTATATGTGTTCAACTGAACCGTTTTCTGTGTGGTATCTGATGTTTAGGGTATGTTCAATCCATCCAATGAATCGGGGCGCGGGGGGCGAAAGGTGTAGTGGCGTGGAAAAAAAAAGTGGAGCATATAAAGAAAGAAAAGAACTTATTCACTGACATTAGCTTTCTTTTAATTTTCTCTTCGGAAAAAATTACTTCAATGTGATGTGTAGGCAACTGTAGTCAAATTTTAAAAAAAGTGTAATTCACCAAACATGTCTATAATTATTTTCCTGTTTTGCATTTTTTCTAATTCCTTCACGTTCCCAATGGAACATAGGGCTTCAAGCTAGAGGCTTAACCAGTTTTTTTATTACTGGCTTAGCGAGGTAAAGAAGTGCTTCGGCCGGGGATACAACCCCGGACTGTGTGCATAGTCCACGAGCGTCCTAACCGCTGTGCCACTGACGCACTTCATGTATTTTTTTTAACTTTAGTAAATATATACGTCTATATAATCTTTTGTGGATTGACTCATCCTCTTTGTTTTCTGTATAATATTTCAAAGTATGTCACTGACCTCCTGAAGAGCTTCATCCCCTTATGTCTTCGAATATTATTATTATTATAACACCTTGTTAGTTAACTAGTTGTAAACTTATCCTTTTACTAGAATTACTTGTTTGCATTAATTTTATTATCTTAATAAATGTATCCCTTCCATGAATTTGCACGTTTTCGTAATTAAAACTTTTGAAGGCTGAACACTAAACGTCTTCTTTGAAACAAAGCAAAAGTGTGTTTTCTCCACTATGTATTCTCCTTTGGGACTAAGTTGTTTGGATACATTTGTGTTGGTGTTGGGTTATGGAGTAAGTGTATGTTGTGTAGAAGAATAATACTCTAAGGGAATCAACGTTCACAAAGTCATTGTAGTATAGTAAATTAACTAAAGGATTCTTTTTCTTCATTCTTAATTCCTTAGGTGTTTTGCGAATGGAACATAGACCTTCAAAGTTCGAAGTTTGAGTAACAGTGGACTTGGCCATTGAGAGTGGAAGACATGAAAAGGCTAGCTGTCTTTGATCATAGGTGCCTACATTCCATCTCCCGTGTGAAATGGTATAATAGGGTGAGCAATATTGAAGTTAAGTGTCGAGTGCTAGGTAAGGAGGGAGTGGAAATCAATCGACGAGGTTGTAAAACAGCTGCATCGATTCAGGTGGTTAGGACATGTATTACGCATGCTTAGCCTAGCCATCGCCTTCCTCGACAACGGGCAATGTTAGCTGACATAGGGTCAGGCTGGAAAAGAGCTAGTGGTGGTCAAACAAAAACATGGCCTCATCAGTCAGTGGAATCCACAACAGTTAGTTTAAGCCAGCCACGTGGGAAGGTGTAGACTTCCTGGTTTGGGTCCTCAGGACGATAAAAAACACCAATGAAGGCTGGAGTGATAAGGCGAAAAATCGTTGTCGATGGCGCAGATGCATCCACTCTTTGTGACTGATAATACCCAATAAAACTATATGGTTCTTCGATATCACTATTCTTTTTGCCTCATATCTCTGCTTACTGTCACTATTTTGTATCTCTTTAAACTTTCTTCCCTTGCCTTGTGTGCTATATGGAGTGTAGCGACTCGAAGTGCTGCACATCTGTGCAAAGTTCTATGTTGAAACCAGTCAGCAATAATGATGTTTGGTTTTGATTTTTACAGAACCTGGTTACTGACGTCACACTGAACAACCGTTTCTTCTTTTTTGTTTTCGACTTACTACCGGATAGTAAACTAGGCATCTTTATCGTGAGTCATTCGCAGCTGTCAAACTCTTTACCATTGAAATACAGACGTACTATAAGATTAAACGGATAAATTCCTATTGATATTTCTATGTAACAAGTACTTTCAGTTATTCAGAAATAGTTCGTTTCATTTAGAACACAGATTAAATTGAAGGGGAACTTTCGTACCGTAGTATTCTTAATTTTGTTTATAATATTCCGATGATATTTGTTGATAGCTTACCATTTTTCATCTATGAGAATAGACGTCTTTTAATCACCTTTTCATTTCTTAGAGAATATCGGCATTTTCTTCTGACCATAGGAACATTTTTGTTTGTATGGTATTAAAATATTTGTGTTTTTTTTTCATTAGGAGACTTAATGTAGTAAATCAAAGTTTATTTAATCACTTAGGTTATTTCATGTGATGCTGTGACTCATCGATTTAGATGCTTAACTTCTAAATAGTCAGTGACTGGTTCGAACCTGGTTCCACCTACGGAGGTTTGAACGGTAAGGTAGTGTCATCATTAACCCTCACACAGTAGATGGGGTGTATGGAATCGCAATTGATTGTTGATTAACGAAAGGAATAATAATAATAAGGTTATCTTGAGCAGTGAACTAGGCTATCAGTTTTTCTTCTTCTAGTTTAGACAGCATTATTATTTATTATTTGAACTCCAAACTATGATCCGTCCTTATTGTGTGAAGGCTAGTGATATTGACCAGGTTGAAGTGAGTGGTGAGGGATTCGAACCCGTGACCATCTGACTATAACTCTATTGTTTAAAGCAGTGAATCATGTCTCCGCTTATTTTGAACGTTATAATGGTGGAGCGCATGCATATAGCTTATATCATTCTTCGAGCCTTACACGCAAGCACACTTGGTTCGCGTACCATCTCATCGTTTTTTAGACAGATTATACATTAGAATTGTTTCTATGCTTGCTTAGAAATGAATAAGGACTTTAAAGAAAAAGGCATTTTCATAAATCTGATGAGAAACTTCAATTTCTCTTTTGTACGCATTACTCTACTTTTTGTATTGTACTGCATTTCTAGAAAATTGTTTTACTATCGTTAATAATTCAGATGTTAAAGCTGTATGCGCACATGAGGTAAAAGTAATAAGAACATCGATAATCTCAAAATTGGTTAATTTGTGTAGACTTTCAGTCAGTCTTTAACCAGTAAGACTAGTGGCTTTTCTTCTAGACACCGCAGTGTAGTACATAACTGAGATAACAGTGCAAAGTTTGAAAGTTGGAAATTAATTTGACCTCAAAAGGTTGACAGTTTGTATGTAAAATATTTTCCACAGAAGCATATTTCTATCTACATAAAACCTTTTGTATACGAAGCGAATTCCAGGTATTTTTTATCTCTCCAAAAATTTATCATTGTAACTCAACTCAGCATATAATTTGTTTACACAGCTTAAAACTAAGAGTAAAAGCGGCAATGCGTAGGAAAGAAAAATGCATATTATACGTTTAGTATCTTTTTAAATAGTGTGTTCACTTTGAGAAAAATAGTCATGGAAAGCCTTGTAAATCGATGGTTCAATGATGGAATCCTCTTCAACCATGCATGTCGTCCAGCTTCAATTCCGCCCCCCCCCCCTTCGGCCTCTCGATGCAATCCTGAGTCTTGCATAATTTACTAGGCTGGAAAAGGGTAGAGTTGGGCGTGAGGCTAGCAACTTCAAAGCTCAATTTTGAAGCCCTATTTTCTACTCGGAACGCAAGGGATTGACATTATATATATATATAACCGTATGCTCATCATTAATAATTCTATGTAATTCTGTAATCGAACATTGTATTATGATTACCTAACTGTTGTATCAACAATGATAATTTCACATTGTAATGTGAATGAAAGTAACTAGAATTGGGGGTAGACTATTAGATTTACACATATTCAGTTGTATGTTGTTAAGGTATTCATTTTTGAGACTATGAATTTATCATTATTATTACCCCCTTGAGTTCCGAGTGGAATATGCAGCTTCAATAGCACATCTCCATTTCAGTCTGTTCTATACATTCTTTTTTAGCTGGCTCCAGGATTGCTCATATGCTCCCAGTCTCCTCATATACGTCACCCTTGGACCCACGCCTAACTCTTAGCTTCCCATTCGCATTCCACTGTAGTCCATGGTGCAATTTATCACTCAAGGATTACCTCTGCGTGTATCTGGTCCATCTCCATTTCCTTCTGCATGTTTGCTAGAACATACAGCTCTTGGTTGATTTTTTTCTACCGGAATTCATTGTTATTTGTCCTTTCTGACCAGCTATCTCGTCTTCAATATGGAATGAAATGGGCAGTTGTTGTTAAAAGTCTGCAGTTGTCTGATGCAGATATTTTTCATGACGTGCCAATTCTTTGAACCATATAGAAGAACCGACTTGACGTTTATCTTGAAGATCGGTACCTTGTTCTTCATGCTGTGTGCCTGAGACTTACACATTGATTTCAGATTAATAAAGGTCTATCTCACCCATTTCCGATCCTGCGTGGCTTTGATATTTTCATCCGCGCCGGCTGTAGATGAAGCGATGATGTCTAGGTAAGTGAAAGGGGTTAGGTTTTGTTTTATAAATTGTTCAGAAAATAG